GGAGAAGCTGACAGGCTGCCATTTTCAGTGCAAAAGGACAAATACATTTGGTAGGATTCACAGTGCCTAGGAAAAAATATTTCTATGGTGAGCAAGGAGATGATACAAAATCTGGAACCAAGAGGTGATGGACATTTTCACATATGGTGCACAATGCAAGCTGCACTAAAAAAGAGGAAAACCCAGACTTCTATCTATGCTACTTTTCCTACACTAAAAGGAACATAGTCAAATGTCAATCCATGTATTTACCAGCACATGCAATAGTACTAACATGCTATAGTGTACTATAGTATATATTATAGTATATTATGGTGAAGTATCTACTAAACTAACATGATCTTACAGCATTTTGTATATACCTCATTTAAAGTAAACACAGATTAAGAAGTAGATACCCTTCTTCCCCTTTACAGTTTTGCATTCAGCCAAATCCTGTGCAGTTCTAGAAAAGAACCACTTCAAAATATAGGAAAATTTCTCGAAGTACATGGAATTATGACTAGCCAGCAAAGAGGTACTGTGCCTATTATTAATTACTACCCTGATAACTGGAAAAGATGGCCTCCTTTGAAGTCAGGCTTCATTTTGTGCACAGAATCCAAGTGCTATTTAGAGATAATCAAGAAAAAAAAAATCAAATTTCTTAATCAAATTATACATTCAAATGCTTAACCTAAAACAAAGGGGGAAAGGGAAGAGGGATCATTGAAATACTTGAAGTTTTGTCTCAACTGAATCTAAACAATCAGCTTCAAAAACCCTACATTTTGTAACCCATCTAATGCCATTCAAAGCTTGAAAAGTATGAAGGATTCTTCAGTGCTTTACCAATTTGAAAAACACTATTTAGGATCATGGACAGCAAAAAAAGTAAATAAAAAAATTAGTTGTGACAACAACTAACCACACCCATTTTTTAATAGTGTCTGATTTTACCGTCTACATACATATCAGAGATATTTATGTTTTCACTTGCTTTCCACCATATATGATCCAATTATTTTTTGCAAAGAAATGGTCCAAACCAAACAAGCGAAAGGATGCTGCAGGGATCACTAAAACCAGATTAATTCTGTGATACTTGCTCATTCCTCTGTACACATTACCAGTAACAAATTATGGACTTTCTAGGGACTAAAATAATCTGAACTATCAAATACAGATGAGGCATACAGTGTAATGGAATATCCAGCTGCATATTTTATGCTCCTCAGTCTATTCCCTACAGCATACAGGGCAGTTTTTGAAAAGCCTCTGCCTTCAGCAAGAATGCAGATTGGTTATTTTCAGACCCTGGCTTTCAGGAGAGTACTTGAGCTTTTACATGGCTTTCTAGACCACAACCTGTTCTCTCTGTTTGCTTGTCTTAGACCACCCTTTTAAAGCATCTCCTCATCCCCTTTTGAGTGCCTTATCAGTGGCTGAACAGGGACAAGAAAGACTATTCTCTCACTTGGTCATGGGAATGCAGTTGTTCTTCACCTTTCAAAAGTCATTCATGGTGCAGGAGAGGGAAAATTTTGGGTGCACTCTCCTGCTTTGGATATATTTCTTAAAGGGCCAATAAAATATCCAGAACAGCCACCCACATTCATGTAGCTGCTAGCGCTGGCACACCACAGTAGCACATGTGAAGGTCTAGCTTAGGGACAATACCTTCTCTTGAGATCATTTCCCACAAATGCCATTTCACTGCTCCCACCTACTCCTCTCTACTCCAGAGCTGGCCTTTATGCAGTGATAAGAACAAACCCAGAACCACAGAAAAAGAAACCAGAAGATACATAAACAGTGCTAGCACACTACATCCAATGGCGAACAACAGTACATGTACACAGGAACCAGTACATTACAGCACACACGTATATACAAATGGTGTCTGGAGAGGACATAATGTTTGTTACCACCTTCACCTACACCTACAACAGTATATGTTTTGACTTAATGTATTTTGATTCACAGGGTGTGTTATAATTTGCATGCCTATCTAGACTTTCAGAATCAGTGATCTGTGACACACCCCCCACCCTTATGTACACACACACACAAATGTGTGTGTTTTAGTCATCTTCTTGTTATACAGGTTTTTAATGATACTTTTTATACCACTGTGCTATATTTCTGCCTGAGAATCAGGCAAATATACTGAAGTCAAGATTTAAAAGCCTTTGGTAGAGCTGTGCCAATTCACATCAGGTGAGGAGATGACTCTTCAATGTTAAGAAACAGAAAAGCAGCTGATCTTACACAAATATTTTGGCAGAAATAACTCGGAAGAATGGGAGTCTGAACCACTTTTGGCACTCAGGTGACGGCAAGACTCAAGAAATTAGTACCCTGCTTATAATTGCAGTTGCCAGGAATTGCAACTCACTGCCTGGTTTCACCCCCTTTTCCTTCAAAGTCTCTCAGTGCTGCTACCCATCTGTTATGTTGTACATCCAGGCACGGAAAGAACAGGGGAGGAAGCTGGGGTGAAGGTGAGGGACTGGGAAATACAGCTGGGTGGCAAGAGAATGAAAAGAGAAGAAAAATTAAGTGCTCCTAAAGCAGAGGTTCTTACAAGCCGGGGTTCTTGTAGTAAAGGGAGTCTCCTTACTGTCATCTAAAAAGTCTTCTTCCTCATCCTCCTTTCTCAGGCGCCTCTTGGTCTCCTCATCATAAATGAGGCCCAGCAGGTTGGCAGGGCTCTCACTCTCAGCATGGCACAGCTCGTTGAGGCGGACACCGATTGCCTGCAGACAGGGAGAAAGAGAAAGCACAAGGAGATGAGAATTTCAGCCCAACTCACTGGTAGTCGAGGGCTCTGCCCCATGCAGGCTGTGGAGATGTTTCAGCCAGAACAGAATGCTCAGGCTTTATTTTTATTGTCTGCAAAATGCAGTAAAGTAGAGAAAGGGATGACAGAAGATTAATTGCTACCAAGACCATAATTTATTTCCCCCTTTTTTTCAACCAAAATTTGCAAACACTGTCAAATTTCAAGATGAAAAAATTTTGCAGATTTGGTTAAATAAAAAAAAAAATCCCCAAACCAGCACATCATAGGCAGGAGGAGATTAGGTCATTATTTTGTATTAATTTCTTCCACTTTCTTTCTCCCCTTGATATATGTGTGCCAGTTTTTTGCTAAGTCTGAGATTACTGAGAATATTTAAGAAACTGTTTAAGAACTTAAACTCCGTTTAAGAAACTATCCTGTGACTTAGGAATCCTGTAACAGTCCCTGTTTCCTCCACAAAACCATTGAATGCCCATGGGAAATCCTGCTACCATCTTTAAAGGAGAGACTGCCTGATGCACTTTCCAAAAATGAGCTCGCAATATGCATATAAAATCTGGGAAGGTGCATGGTTAATGGTGTAGAGGGGATCCATGTAGAGAACAGAGACAGATAGATTTCCACTGAATACTGTTACATTCTCCAGAAAGGCATTGATTATTTATTTGTGGTTGTTTGCCAGCATCATTATCAGCATGTAAACAGCCCTCATGGTGCTGTCAGCAAAGCTACAGATGAGGGTGTGTTAGCAAGAAGAATGCTTTCCTGCTAAGACACTTCAGAGCTCTTAAGGATTTTCTTCATTTTCTTTGCTGCAGATAGGTGAAGAGAACACAGACAAGTAAGTAAAACTTTATCCTGTGATATCATCACTTTGCGAGGGCGGAAATGTGTTTAATTACTGAGTTTTCATCAGCACTTGCCATTTGGCCTCCTTGGTTTTGGGATAGTTTCAGAGAAAGATACTACAGAGGATTTCTGAATCTTCTACAAGTCAGCACTGATGGTCATGCCAGCACTACATAATTTTCCTGTCTTGGCTGAAGCAAAGCAGAAATAGATAAAGAGTCACAAACAGGTATTAGTAAGGCTCTTCTTCCTTGCTACTAAGCAGTTCCTGTGAAATCCAGCAACAATGAAGAGCGTAGACTCTGCTACACGAAGAGAATAAGGTGGTATTGTTGTGGTTTGCAAGCTGATGCAAATAGTTGCCAATCTCAGCTACCTGTGAGCCTGCACATTGCTAAATAAACTCCAGCAACACATCTCTCACAATTTTTTTCCCCTTTCATGTTTCAAGCATTTAAAGGAAGAAATGTTCTGCTTGCCTCTCCACAAAGCAGTAATTTATCACATATTATTTATGCTGTGTTGTCCACCCAAATATTAAAGTAATCACACATAATCTCACAGCATCCTAACTAATGAGCACTGAATTCCTAACATGTATTATCTGCATGAATTATCCTTGGTTTTCCTACCAAACAGAGAGCATGCCACGGATTAAAAGAAAATGCCTCTTAACAGAAGAAGCCAAAGGAAGTGACAGGCTAACGGGATCAGAATAGATTTAACATTGTATTATTTAAAAAGGCAGCATAGCAAGTGATACTGCATGATTCAATAGGCTCATCACTGTTACAGGCAGCCCAAATCCCACCTCGTGTGGAAAGGGTTTACACTGTTATCCTCTGATGGCTGTTAGGGAGGCTGAATTAAAGGAGTTGGGTGGGGAAAAAAGGTTTTACGTTCATTCTTGGTCTCACTAAACTTTGACAATAACACTGTATATCACAATTAGTGAGCAATGAGAGACAAGCAAGGATCCATAATTAGCACAAATTTCCAGCCTTATTTACTGCAAGAAAAAAACAGAACAAGGCCTCAGTGCATCCAGAGACCTATATATTCTTTTCTCTTTGTCCAAGGATCTTCCTTCCAGAGCAGCAGCCCTGCTGCCACCAAGCAGCAAGGATGGTGTGCTGTAGTGTTGACAAGGATCTGGTAGCATGGAGGCAGAGATGGGCTGGGGGAGGTATCCCATCTTCTTGGTACTGGAGCTGCTTAGGAGCTATGTGAGTGCACAGTCAATTGCCCTTCGTGCTGATATTGCCCACGGTGAAATGGGCAGGTTAACACAGAGAAACGGCAGCATGTTCTGCAGCAGGTTCCTGTACTACAGCAACAGAAAGCTGTTTCTCCTCACGGTTCAGCCTATCTGGTTGGAACCAGAGCCAACAAAAGCAGTCATCTGAGGAGCACAGCTTGCAGGGTCCAAGCCCTACAGGCTTGGCTGGTGGCTGCCGCTTATGCTTCCAGCCACCTTCATCTGAAATAGCTTCCGGGAGATAAAAGCAGTGCCAGAGGACCAGCCTTGCCCAGCATTCAACATAAAGGACATAAAGGAACTGCACCTCAGCAGTGCGAGGTGCAGCCCAATCCTAAAGCATGAGTCTGTTTGGGGGCTGGTGATGCTGTGGATAACTATACTGTCCTAGCCTCCAGTGAGAAGAAACAGAAATATTCATGGGTGGCAGGACACCTTGCAGTAAAAAGAGAAGAAATTTGCATGGTAAAGACTACTCTCCAAATCTTCTCCTGCCTTACAGTAAGGTAAAAGTAATGCTTTTCTCTTCTGGGATGTTCCTAAGCAGCTAGCAAACACGTGCTATTCCTACCATGGACAATGGATCCAGATATGCCTTATGATGCCATTAAAGTTAAGGGGAAGAGAATGATGTTGCTTGCCATCAGATTTCCCTGGCTCCTTTGTTGTGATCTTGCATCATATGGTGGTACTTTAACATTTCTAAAAGAAAACCTTCCTGGACTTTTTCCAGGTCAGGCTATTTCAGTTTCTAAAAATGGCAGCTGATGGGGAATCTAACTGGCTTCTAATGGTTACTGACTTGCTTGCTCCCATTTTGTTAGGATCTGAAGAAAATGAATGTCTAGAGGCATAGAGTCCACAAACAGATGGATAGTCCTGACTGTCAGCAATGCATGCAAAAATACAAGGACTATGTAATTGATGTTCTCCACTTGGAAGGATTCCTCAAAGGGGTTAGACTAAGGTGGTGACCTCATGAAATATAGAAGCAAATACATTCACACCATGTACTTTTTCAAGGAACTTTGGTATCTGTGCTGTTATTAAGATAGTCAACTGTGTTTGAGACATAACAGAGAGTAGGGTGCCCAGGTAGCATTCCCTGAATTAGCTTCAGAAATGGAAGGAGAGCTGCCAACAGACAAAGCTTATTAGCTTGGGTGCTCAAACCCAAGCTAGGTTCTCCCCCTGGGCTGTGTTTTGTGGTGGGAATGTACTGACACGGTCAGCACTAGCTCAAGGTTCCCTACAATGTGCTCCACTGAGAAGCGTGTGTTGGTTTAACTTAGGAGAATACGGGTCAGCAAGGCTTTTTTGGCATGGCTTATGTAAGTACCCCAAGACTGCAGAATACATGGTTTTCAAATTCCCCTGAGCCTTGGATTTTATGTCTTTTTTTTTTTTTTGTCCTTTTTTTTTTTTTTTTGGCTCATGATTCTCACCGTAAAAATCTCTAGTTTTGTGAAAAGAGGTGAGAAGCACAAAGCTCACTTCCAGATAGACATATGTAACAGGCACCATAGAGGTCAAAGGAACTTCTCCCACTATTTTGAGTTGTGTGAAATGACTTGCAATAAGCATCAGACCTTCAGCAGGTATACCCTGGTGGGCTTCCAAAGAAATTGCAAGCGGCACTGTCAGGGCCAGACAGGGCAATTGCCTAGTTCATGTATGCTAAGAGATCACGATCAAATAAAACTTGAAGGAGCCAAGCTCAAAACAAACAGAGACAGTTCTTTAGATGACATGTAATAGCCCCGTAGAATTCCCTGCCAAAGAATGATGAGTGCTAACAGTTTGTATGGGTGCAAAGAGAGACTGAACAAGTATGTCAAAGAGAAATCCATTACTAAATATACAGCACCACATCTAGCTCAAGCAGCCTTGGGCTAAAAATATTTGGAAGCTAGAAAAAAGCAAGTAGTATCACACACCCTGCTCTTACTCTTCCTTAGGCATTCACATATGACAAGTGCTGGAAACAGAAGAGTGGACCAAATAGATCCTCAGAGGGAACACGGCAGGGGGAAGGGAAGGAAGGGGACACCATTATGTCCTAACAAAGTCTGATACCATTAGGAGAAGAGCTGACCCTGGCAGGCTGTGAAGTGCAAGTTGAAAGGGAGGCTTATGAGTCCCCTTTTTACTGGAACTGAAATTCTGCATAGGATCTAATTACCTTTACATCTTGGTATATTTTTTAATGTAAGTAGAAGAGAAACAAATACTTACATCTCCCCACTGGTAGAAGAGCTTAGCTGCATTCCACTGCAGCTTCTGGTTCCTTTTGTTGCCCACGATAGGAGAACGCCCACGAGACAGGCCTTTCTTAGTAATGTTCACATGGTGGCCCTTCATCCACTCAGGCCAGTTGCCGCGATTACAGCGGTGAACGAAGCGTGCACACTCGAGGAACAGGGCTGCTCTTGCCACTACAGGAGCTTCCTGAAATGTTTGCAAAAAATCACCTTGAATACAAATACATTGGAAAAACTCTCTGAACATTGGAGGATTTTGTGCTTTAATCAATTGTTTTGCAAGTTTGCCATGCAGTCACATAGACTGAGCAATCTCTCCATCAGAGTCTGAAACCGGGATCTCTGCCCTGAGTCACACCTCTTGAGCTAATAAAACCAAGGCTTATAAACACTGAACAGTTATGCTTAGTCTAACAACTAGAGGGGCAGAAAGAGCCACATTGTAAACTTATAGAATCATAGAATCATAGAATAGTTTGGGTTGGAAGGCATCTCTAAAGGTCATCTAGTCCAACCCCCCTGCCATGGGCAGGGACATCTTCAGCTAGAGCAGGTTGCTCAGAGCCCTGTCCAGCCTGACCTGGAATGTTTCCAGGGATGGGGCATCCACCACCTCTCTGGGCAACCTGTGCCAGTGTTTCACCACCCTCAGCGTAAAAAATGTCTTCCTTCTATCTAGTCTAAATCTACCCCCCTTTAGTTTAAAGCCATTCCCCCTTGTCCTGTCACAACAGGCCCTGCTCAAAGTCTGCCACCATCTTTTTTATAAGCCCCCTTTAAGTACTGATAGGCTGCAAGAAGGTCTCCCCGAAGCCTTCTCTTCTCTCGGCTGAACAACCCCAACTCTCTCAGCCTTTCTTCATAGGAGAGGTGTTCCATCCCCCTGAGCATTTTCGTGGCCCTCCTCTGGACCTGCTCAATCAACCTCGTTTTGATACCTCTCTGTAATCCTTTCTTTCAGAAACCAGGTAACTGCCAAAAAGCAGAGGCGTGCCTCTGACACTTTTGCTGGAGGAATGAGTCATGTTTTCTTTTCATCTTCGCCAGTAAGGCTGCAAATATTGCAAGCACAAATGGCAGCATGGCGACATGAATCCTAGCATTTGTCTTGTTAAGTTCTGCTTGCGCATCTTGGGGGTGGAAGCATGAATGGAGGCTTGCTGAAACTAGGAAGAATGCTATTTTGCACTTATAACAAGCAGATATGGAGAGTGAAATCCGTTATTGCCATAAGTCAACAAAATTTTGCTGGCCTAACTTCAATGGCCTTACCATCAGACAATTTAGTACTGAAACTTAACATCAGGCAGCTGAGTTTTGAAGTGATTGACTGTTTTCCAGAGGAAAATCCTCCTGCCCCCAGCTTGGAAGAGCACTTTTCTTTAATGGGAGAAATTATATTGATTGTATCTTAGTTTGTATTAAATTGCCCAGCAGGATCCATGTTAGACCAACAAAGAATGCTTCTGAAACTCTCAAATATGTTCAAAAATGGACACTGTAATTTCCTTCCAAAAGGGTAGCTTAGACTCAGGAAGGAGATTTCTTCCCAGCAGCCTACAACTCTGCAAAAATAACATTTTTACAGACATGGAAAGTGACTAAAACCAAATGGTTCTCCTCATTTCCATTTAATTTTCCCCCTCTCTTCCTGCAATTTTCACAAGCAAAAACCCCTGTGGCCAGCAGGTTGTAAAACTAAGAATACAACAATGTCCACAATTTACAAGCTGGCTTTGAAAGGTTCCCTAACAGGGATTTCACAGAGCACAAACATGTGTATTCCACACATTTAGATGCTGGCAGCTTTAATGAGATAATTTAAACAGATCAGCATCCACTTATAAGGGGAGGTTCCTCATCTGTGGTCTATAAATAGCAGATGGGCCCTGAGACCATGGAAGATGGTCTGTGGAACATTATTAAATAGTACTTCCAATAGTGTTTTAATCAAATGTTGAAAGCAAGCAATTTTGGACCAACGCTCCAAAAGTTTGGGAATTGATTTAAGAAATTCTGTACTGCAGCTAAACTTACAGCCAGAAATTACTACCAACAGGACTGAAAAAATTCATGCCTTTTAGGGGACTGGCAAGAAAAAAAAAAAAAAGATTATGTTTTGTCTACATTAACAAGAAAATATGTTGATTGCTTCTTGACACAACATCTGTTTGCAGCTTTTTGCTCATATTTTATTGAAATGTTGGAAGAGAATAGCAATCTTTTAGCAATTCTCTTGAATAAGAACATTAAAGCTGGCCCCATGTTCTGATGAGGAAGGCAGAAATCTGAAGCCAGACAGTCATTGACAACCAGGAACAAAACTAATATCTAGCACCTGGAAAAACCATTACAAATTACGTGTTGCCCACCCACATGCAATATGCAACACTGAATAGCTGAGGATTTTATTCTTTTATTCTCGCAGAGTAAAACCTTAACCATGGAGACATTCATGAAAAGATGAAGCTCCAGCCTTAGTCTCCTCCTGTTTTAGTTCACCGCTGGTAATGTCACAATTTCTTAGCATATAGGAATCTTGTAAAGATACATGTTGTAAACATTACAGAAGTACTCAACTACTATAACTAACGGAGGATATATAGGATGGGGGGTGAAGAGGAGGAGGACTGTGTCCTGGAGCAGGAGTTGCAAATTAAAAATCACTGAAAAGACCTCCTGCATGAAGGAGGACTTTCTGAACATCACAGGGCACAAGCTCCCTGTGATTGCTTACCTGAGGCTGAGAGAAACCTGAAGCAGCAGCAAGAGAAAGATGAAGATGTGACAGAATGGACAGGGATGGATTCACACCACAGAGAAACACATCACAAATGGAGAGAAATGAATCAGGCAGGCGATGCATAGCTGAAAAGAACACAAGTTACCATGGTCACTGTCAAAACTTAACACAGCAGCAATACTCTCACAAGCCTGCCCATGCCTGTGAAACTGTTCACAAGTCCCCTTTTAACATTAGACCTACTATATCGCTTCACCTTTTGAAAATTGTTCTTGTACCGTATAAATTGACATGAATAAGAATCCACCATTTTCTTAACAAAACTTCAAGTATTCCAACTGGAGCTTTTCAACAGATACCCTGATTTGTACTAATAACAGCAAAAGCAATGACCTGAGTGGGAGGGAGCAAGTACAGAATGGATTTGGAATTTTACAGCATCACATTACTGTTCAAGTACAGCTGATTCTGCAGAGTTTTATGACTGCAGGGTGTTTAGGTCCAGTTTTGTTTTCAAGGACAATGAATTCTATAAGATTAATCAACCAGTGGTGATTTTCTTGTGCCCTTTCTTGTACTCTGCAAGACACTGAACAAAAATTCATTTCCACTGGTCTCTTCAAGGAAAAAGAAAAAAGCAAAATAACAACAATCTACTTTTAGAGTAAACAAAGTAAATTCAAGTACTGTCAAAAGACGCTGACTGGATAGCTCTGTTTTGTCTAGCCACAAGATAAGTCTGGCATAAGAAGTAGCTTAGCAGGTATATGAAGACAGGTGAGTAAATTATTAACCAATGTCTAGGAGAATTGCCTCAAAAATGTTAGTTCAAGTCTCTCTGATTATATCTAAAAACGGTCAAGTACAATCCATGACACAGCTCTTTGTTTCTGTTCCCAGTCATCTATTCTGGGGACCTGTTTGGAGCAATCTCTGATTTCTTTCCGGGTTATATGCCCTCCTGTGAACAAATATTTCTCCTATGGAAACAGGGACATGGGAACAACAGAGCCTGCCTAAAACCCTTGGAGGCATGGAGTCAGGATACTGGCAAGTATTCTTGCAGTTTAGACTTTGCTTCTGCCCTCCCAATACTTGGTAGGTCCTCCTAAACACAACCCTGCCATAAAGCAGTGCCATTATGGAATTTCAACAAGGATAAGAGATTTACATGTTAGAACAGATCAGCTCACACATCTTATTGGAGAAGTGTCATTGTGATAGGTGTCACACATTGCTAAACTGGTCAAAGAAAAGCTTGTATTTCCCCACCTGAGTCATTTACACTAGTCTGATTACGATATTTTAGGTAACATCTTTATACAATGCTAGACAGTGGTTTATTGGAACCCTCTGCCGAAACTTGACCACAGACTGAAATATCATATGACTTGCCTTTCAACTTCCAAAGTTTCTTAAAAAGGAAAAGAAAATCAATTTTATTATTGCCAAGTCTGGATTTAAGCTGGTGACATAAGGATGAAACTGCCTGCGACATATTATCAATTGTCATTGAATGCTTGCAAAGCCAAAATTGATTGTAGTTTTATAAAATTCAGTCAAGGATGGATGCTGCTTCTGGGAAAATATGTTAACTACGTAGTTTCTAAAACTAAGGCAACACCCAATTTAATATATAAATAAATCATTACCTCCATAAGGATGCAGCCTTTGTTTCACTGTTCTAATTTTAAATCACTGTGGCAAACCTGTATAAACATCCAGGCTGATCAAAGATCTTGAAGTCGGTATAAGAATGGAATTTCAAAAATCTGCATGAAAAAACATGCTGAAAAAGTTTATGAAAGAACTGAAACTGGAGATGTTTGCCTTTGATTCTTTGAAGGTTGCCATAGCAACTCGACTGGATAAAATGACTTAAGAAGCTTTTAATTTGCATCAAACCTGATTCAAACTATTACTTCAGAAGCCTGAAAACTGAAGTTAAAAAAACCACAATGTTTTCTGTTGGGTGTGCTCTATTGACATAAAATGTGGGAATTTTCCATAACAGCATACATTGCCATTAAGCAATACAGTGAGATGACAAGCTGTCATCTTTTGAAACCTGCAGTGCATGTGACTTCTTAACTTCCATATATCTCCAATACTTTGTAGACAAAAATGCCAGCTGAGCAGGTACTTGTAAGAAGTCTCCCAAACCTGTAATTAGAGCAAGGCTGCTTTCATCTTTAGCTGCAGACCTTCTAGAAATTCTGATACCAAAGCCTTCTGCATCATTCAGCGGAAAGGAAACAGAGTCAAACTCTATTTTGTAAAAGCCAGCTCTGGAAGTCAGAACAGACATCTTCAAACAGTTCACTCCGGTAGTTTTCACTTGACTTCATACATGGGCACAGAGTAAGTTGGTCTGTGGCTTAAGCGTTCGACAAATTTAAAAAATAAATAAGACATTTACAGAAAATAGGGACATAATTCCCAAACCCCTGTTTTATCATCTGATTTATTAACACACAGAGTAGTGCACCCTCAGAAGGATCTTAGTGACATTCTTGGCATCAATGAGCTCCTCCCTGCTCATGCACCTTACATTCCTTGTGTTAGTTTAGAATTCGCAATGGGGTGGCAGCCCAGCAGCCTTGAAGAATGAAGTTGTCTTTGTGCAGCACACATGACAGGAGTGACTATCTCCCCAAGCCACCTTCTGAGCTCACTGCAACCCTGACTGGTAGGAACCACTTCTGACTGTGAGAGCATGAGACAGGCTTCCCTATCAGCCACTGCTTCCATAGCTTCCAGCCAGAGGGCCAACAATCTCCAACAGGAAGACTGAGAACTAGTGAAGAAAACACCTGTCTACTGGAAGATGGAGTCCAAACAGCAGAGCTAGATGTGAACTGATAGCAACAGCAACTTTGGGCCAATATCAATGCAGACTTGCTTGAATCTGCAGCCTAAGGATGCAAGGTTAAGAAGAACATGTAAAGGCTTGGTGCGCAGAGTGTATCATCCCTACAGCTATGGAGCAGACAAGGCAGCACAGCTCAGGGCACAGCACTAGCAGAATGGGAGAGTCTGTGAGCCTGGCATCTCCAGCAGCGAGCAAAAAAACTGAATATGAGCACAAATGGCATGACAGTCAAAGAGGCGAGTGGTGAAGGGTGGGAAGACAAAGGGATAGAGAGGATGCAGATGCTTTGAGAGCAGTGGCTTTCAATCTTTTTAAGTTTGCAGACATCCAAACACTTCTGGAAGGAAGTAGAAGAGCACTGTGCAGAGAAGTTACTAATGATTGGCTGGCTTTTCGTAACTGTCTTTGTCACACTCTTGTGCTTGTCACATAAGCACCTCACAGAGCCCCACTGGCCCATGAACCACAGGCTGAAGGCCACTGCTTTGGAAAAGGAAAGCACTGTTAAAAAACCAGCAGCTGCAAGGAAAGGAAGGAAGGAGATGCAGAAGAGTCCCTCAGTGTCAGGAAGGAGGGACTGAATTGTGTCACTTCTGTGATTTGGATCTGCAAAATAGCAATATCTGCATTTAAAAACATGCACACTGACATTTGAAGTTTTTCCCACTGACTGGCTCTGGTGACTCATAGTTCAGTGTTGCCTAATGTATTTATAACTCTGTCAGAACTCTTGAGTGGAATTACTATGCCTCTCCAGGTAGATACGCAGTCTTCAATCTTTATTCTGTAGGTTATTATTGACACTAGGAGCAGAAGCAAAATGGCTGTGAGCAAAATTGGAAGTCTGACAATAAAAGCTTTGCGCTAGCAATAATCTAGTTATGGGGAGCCATGTAATAAAAAAAGATCCATTTTGTCTGCATAGTCATCCAGTCACATGCTAAAACTCCACCTAATAACAGCAACACCAGTTGGCATTGCTGTGATGCTTTACCTGCTTTCTGTGCGGGCATGAACAGCATTAGTGAATGACAACGGACCACCACGTATGCACATGCTCTCACTCAGCAGGTAAAAATACGCCAACGAATGACTTACAAGATCTAGGGCTGCTGCCAAAATGGAGGCATCGGGGATAGTGCCTGGTTCACAGCAGTTCAGGAGAAACTGAAAGCGCTTCATGCCTTGGCGGATTGCTCCCAGGTTCACAACGTTCTTGGATTTTCCTCCTTCTTGGTTGGAGGTCAAGTGATCATCAAAGCTATGGCAACCTAAAGAGGTAGAGAGTAGAGAGGGGATGCAGGGAGGGATAGGGAGAAGGGAACACAGTCTCTCACCAACCAAAAAGTGGTACAAAAACCATGATGAGTACAGCCTTGGTCTAAATCCCTTCCTCACCTTGATGCGCTATCTTGAAGATAACAGGGGCATGTTTACAGTATTCATGACTTCCATGAAATAGGTGTACAGCAAGCCAGATTCTGGTCTTGGTCACACTGATGTCTGCCCAAATTCCACCATACTCAGTGTGGAAGCCCAGGATCTACTCCAGCATAGGTGAACCAGAATATGGCCCTTCCACCCCACCTCTTTAACACAGAACATCATGCTTACTGCCTGTTTTTCCTGAATAATCTCTTATCTTACTTCTCTATTGCCTCTAAGTTTACCTTAAAGTGGAGCATGCGTGAACCTTATTCCTCATGTATCAATTTATTAATATATCATCTACTAGGACAGAAAAATCAGTAGCAAATATTGGAAATGTTCTGTGTGGAAATCAAGTGCTGTCCTTTTTTTAGGCATACATCTTCTGCAATTATCAGAACACCTGAAGTGAGACTGGACTCAAGTCCTAGGTATCATCATCATTCCAGCCTCTCTCCTTTGAAGTGTCTTGCACTCTTTGGGATGGAAAGCTCCCTAATAAGAGTTCCTTTTGAAAATGAAGCTAGCACCCCCCTCCAGGGCTTCTTTCAAGCACGATTTTAAACTCCATGTATAGAGTTCACATGATAAATCAACTAATCCCATTGCCAATTGGAATGAACACTTCTGAATGCAGAAGGTCATTATGCAGTCACTACCCAGAGTTGAGAGAGTGGTAGAAAGACACAGATGAGAAATCAGGAAAGTAGTTTCAAGGCCAGGGTGGCTGGTCAAAACAAGAACAGTCAGCTTCTGGACTTTTTCTCTTTATCCATAATACTCTCCCTGTTTACATGTGAAAGTACGTAAGTTTACAGAATACTGAAGGATAAAGCACTGAAGAAGAGAACACTGAGTGGAGAATTCAGAACTGGCTTTAAACATGGATTTGAAAGACGAGGCAAAACGTCAGCTCTACAGGACTTTGTGACTTCTCCTTCCTCAGGAAAGAAGAATGGCTGAAATTCAAAGTCCCTTTGAGATTGCACTCCCCAGAATTACTTGGAAAGCACTTATGTACCACAAACAATAGTCACAACAGAAAATGACAATGTAGATCACTTTTCCCCTGAAGACAGAGGCATATCAAATTTCAAGAGACTTCTTTACGACATCTGTGGCTTTTCTCTCTCCAGTGAAGCTGTACATAGTTTTCCAGTAAACAAAATGTTCCTATGTTGGGAAATATTTCATCAAAATGGACAAACAAACAAAGTAGAAAGAACAGGTAGAACACTTACATAAATGAGCAGGCACAAATACCCTTTTCTTCCAACTCCTCCTGTTTCCTTATAGCCTGTAGCATGCTATCTGAGCCTTCCTGCTATGGCTGTTGTAACACTAACTCATTTGAGGTACAAACAAATGTTTCCTATTCAGGGCCCTGTTAGGGCTGTGCCTGTATGAGATAAAGAACAGAAACTTGACTTTCTGATACAGAAAGGCATGCCTAAGGCATCTCCCTAACCCCCTCTATAAAGGTCTAGCAGACGCTTTGTCCATCTGGGCTCAGGTGGTACTACCTACAGTCTATCACTACAGCCCTTTGCAGTCCTCTGCAGTCCCAGCCATGCACTTTGTTGAAGTTTTGCAAGAGAATCCTTCAGAGGCAGCTGATGGCTGTCCTCCACTATGCCCATCCTGGAGTAGCCTTGCTATAAGTAGGGGAGCCCTCACTGGCTTAATGTTAATGTGACTCAGCGCTGCAGAAAATGTCACCCAGTGAGCAGAGACCATTTCCTAACATAGGAGGACACTGGATGCCCAAGCTCCCACCCCCACAGTTGCTTCCTGTGCGAATGTGAGATCACCCCTCGGAGCAAGCATGTGCTGTGGTTCGCCTGTCCATGCCTGGAACACCCTGGCAACTTCTATGGTCACTCACAATGTCTTCAGTAAGTGCCCGAAGGAACATTAAGGGTCCCATGTAAACATACTGTAACTCACTTCTGTATATATGCTGTGTTCTTAGTATAGGTAAAAAGATCGTTAAAATAAACATTTTGTTATGCATGAATGTGCATATATTTATGTGTATATATATGTATACATATGCACACATACAGATACACACACACACGCGCGCGCATATGCTTACATACATATCCAACACAGAATTTCCAGTGGTCTAGATGATATATCACAATGAAGACTACAATTCAAAAATGATGTGACAAATTATTCTACATTATATTTTATTTTTTTTACTGTAATGTATTTCTCCTTTCTCTGTTTTCTTTTAAATTTGGTCTACTATGTTAAAAAGACCCAAAAACACAAGAGGAAACACCACATGGGAAAAGCATGAGCAAAGTCATGGCATAGCATCATGAATGACAAGAATGGGAAGGCAGAAATAGGTTCCAAAACAACGCTTTAGGGTCAGACTTCAAGGGATTTAATAGTATGCCCATCCACCTTCAACAGGCTTTTATTCTTTTCTCCATAAGCACATAAAACCTGCTGATCTTTATGGAAGATACAGAAGCACTGGAAATTTGAAGGCCCTCTGTAACATTGCTGTTCTACTGTGTAATAAACCGTCCCACCCTGAAAAGGCCTCACATCAATTTCACTATGCACATGCAAGTACATACACACAGAGGCATGTACAACCACTGTAATATTTGCTAATGGTATGTGGCTTTCATTGCATACCAGAGGTCCTTGTGGACATGGTGACAGAATGTCCTTAACTGTCACACTTTGCCTTATAAACTTTAAATACCCTCCCTTTGCTTCAGTTAGTGATCAGGCAACAGCCCAACCCTCCCCATCAACATAGCTGGACAATTTGCCTGTTTCTCATACTACCATGCAAGGGTCTCTGCCTTTAACCCATTGCATCAATATTATTATCGTATTTCTAATGCATGCATACGTCAAAACCAAGCATGTGTCATGTACATCTCTTCTCTCACAGGCATGTAAAAGACGTTTCAAGTTCTCTTCATTAATTACATAAATTCTGATGTTACTCACAGAGGGCTGAAGTATGGACAACACTTCCGAAGTTCAAAAAGCCAATACTAATGTGTCATCTGAGTTTTGTATAGAACTAAGATATGCCACACATACTGAACAAGGCTTTTGACGCTCACAGGGCCAAGACTAAATCTGTGCCATTAAATCAAGAATATGGGCACTCTAGGCAGAAGCAAACTCACAGTGGCATAAAATCAGCATTAGCAAAATGAAAACAAAAATTATCCCCTACAAGAAAATATGAAGGACATCTCACATGAGCACTGTAGAAACAGCTGTGGCAGTCTATGAAGATCTCACTGCCCCTCTGTTGTTTGTTCCCAGTAAGAACTGGGAGAAAATATGGTGCACGTATTTCACACCTACTTCAGCACAAAGTAGTGGATGAAGAAAACAACGTAGTTCCTTCCATTGTGGGGGTATTCACCTTCCACTACCAGGCTACAACAAGCTGCTGGGCTGATGTATTCTCCTTCTAAAGGAATGATACTTTTCACCTAGGAGCTAGTTGAAAACCACCACCAGTGTTTCTGCAGTGGTAGAATGATGACCAGTTTACATTGCTGAGATATGCTCATTATGCTTTGCTAGTATTACTTGCCTGAACAACGTCTTACATGCATTACATTGCAGGTCTGGGACAGATGATGGTGAAATACATACAATGCAGTGTCAAAGTGTAATGTCAGAAAATAAAAAACATAATGCCAGAGAATGTAACATACTGTAAAGCTACAGAAATCATGGTGAAAAAGAAAATCTACTCCTTTTTGTGTGTTTTTGGGAGTCGGGTTGGGTTTTCTTGAAAAAACAGTAGCAGAACTTCAAGATACAAGGTTATCTCCCTGACACAAGGACGAGCTCTGACCTGAGGACACGAGCATGTGAATGGCTGCATGATATTTTAAAACAGAATATATCACGACCTTCTATTATTCATAAAGGCACTTTTCAAACATTGCTGATTTTGAAAATGCATTGCAATTAAATATACTTTTGTGGAAAGGAAAAGTAGTGTTGTTATTATTATGTTGTGTGCTAAGAAAAAGGGACAGCATCCCTAACGAATGGTATGTAGACACTAGACATGCAAACACAGAAGAAAAGAGATAATTATAACAAGGTTTGTGCAGGGTTTTCCATTTCATCAGTGCTGATCTTTGCTAAAACTGTCAAATGGTCACAAATTGGGAAAAAAAAAAGCGAACAAAAAACTGATGGAACACCCATTGTTATATTAGGCAACAAAAGATTTACACACCTAATTTTGAACTGAATAAGTGCTTTAAAGCAAGCATTAATTTTTCAAGTGTGTTGATCAAATTTGATTTGATTTTAAAAGCCCAAATATTGTATTTGCATAATTTATTTGGATAGTCTTGATTTTTTTAAAAAATTGACTTTACTAGAGTTGTTTTCTAAATCAAAACAAAAGAAAGAAGGAAGGGAAAGAAAACAGTTACAAAGACTAAAAAGTTGGAGAAGGCTAGAATGGATACAAAAACTACGGAGAAAGCAGGAAAAAAGGGAAAGGGGTAAAATACAGAAAGAAAGAGGTTAAAAAAAAAAAAAAAAGAAAGAAAAAAGGAGACGAGAACCCTGATTTCTAACCATCTTTTTCTTCTGTGTGATGAAGCTTGGATGGGTGTCTTCGGCAGGTGCGCCATTTACCAAGACGCTTGAAGAAATTCTCCTCTTCATCTCGCCCATTGTCCAGGCCACCTCCTGGCCCCCCTCCTTCTGACAGCTTCACCGCGCTGGTAAACTTCACCTGTGCAAAGACAGAGTGCCGGGTCAGACTGCGCCGTACCACTATCTCTTGGTCTTCCTTGCTTAGACATAAAGCATCTACAGAAGGGGTGTAACACAGTGGGTCACCATAGCAATACATGTGGGTCTGCACAGGTTTACGTACGCTGAAGCACTTCATCTTTTAAGCTTTCTGCTTAAAGGATTGGTCTTTCGCAAGAGGCTGTAAAGGCACAAAGAAGGAAGGAGAAGTGTGACCAACAATTAAACCTTAAGTGTGTTGACAGAGCCTGCATTTCTCTCTCAGTGAACCAAGGCAGACTGACAAGTACAGTGTAGGTTTAACCTAGTCTTCACTGTGAGCTGCAAAAGTCCAGTATCAAATTCCCATGGTACTCTACTCTGAAGACTTCTGTGACCAAGTCTCATTGGCTGCAATGTCCATATTGAGTAGAATGTTTCCCTGTACAGCTAAAACCAGCCAGATCCTATCCTTCCAAGCTCTCTGCAGTCCCACCTGACACATTTACCTTGGAACTCTGCCTGATGAAAGACAGACGGTCGACAGAGCTGATATCTAGGAGATCTTCCACCCCGTCAGCCAGGCCAGAGAGGGAGGAGCGCTTCAGCCAGTTCCCTGTTGCAGAATAAGCCACTCAGGACAATTCTGAAAATGCTTCCAAGCAGAATCTATTTATTAGCAACTGCAGCATATTTCTCCAAAGTGGCCATGCCAGGGTATGGGAAAATGGGAGGAAAGGGGAAGGCAACCTTTTCATGTTACATGCATTAACTACCATGCAAGGCCAGGTCTTGGGACTTGTAAAGGATATATTCTTTGTCTATCAAATGCTATTTGGAATATTTCTCTTCTACAGAGAGGAAAAATGGCTGTGAGATTAAGGTACTAGCCTACTACTTTCGAGACACGGATTCAGTATTCTATTTTGCCACAGATATCCTCTGTTACCTTTGGCAAATTGCTTATGTTTCCCTTTGCCTCAGTTCCCCATCTGTAAAATGGAGAGAGCAGCATTTCCCAACTTCCCTTGGGAGACTAGACAATATACTTGGACAATAAGGAACTGCGTTGCAATGTTTCTTAAGACAGATATATCCATCTGCATTTCTCTGCACATGCAATATGTATATAGAATAGGAAGAGACATACATTTACCTATGGGGAGTTTGAGTTTCTTTCGAAGGGAGATTCGTCGGGAACGGGAGCGGGAACGCCTGTCTGTGGTGGTCCCAGAGTGAGCAGTGGTGCACTCGGATGTGTCCTGCTCAGACTGACTACTGGTATCACTCGCTGCACTCTGTGACTTGAACATCTTTCGCCAGAAGTCCTTGCGTCCCAGAACGGCCCCTTGGATTTGCTCATCACTGGAAGAAAAGGGATGCAGAGCGTGAACTGCATTTCAGTGAAGTTTGGATGTCCAGGGGAATGAGGCCTCCCTCCCGCAGCCCCCTCCCGACCTCTCTACTCTTTGAGGTTGTTTCATTCTGAATTCCAAACACACTCTTCTTAGTGGGACATACTCAAGTTTGACAACATGCTCAATATTGTTCAAGGCACAAAATAACCATCTTTTCTACCCTGAGAAGCTTGTCCACTGAACAGGTCGTTTCAATTTTTAGTTCCTACATGTGAATAACAAATCATATTCTTCAGGTCAAAATGACCCATATTGGTAAGACTACACTGGTGCTTTCTACAAGCATGTGTACTGGAGAGCTTTTAGACATCACAATAGCCATTTGTGAACCTGCTGGAGTCACGGTTCTCATTAACGTATTGGAATGGGGACAGCATATTTCGCTATACTCTTGAGATCTCCCATGGCTGTGGCAGGGCTCAGGGCAGAACAGCTTGCTGCAATTCTGCAGAGCAGTAAAGGGCTTTGTGGTATCCTTGCAGTCTCAGCAACAGTGAGACTTTGCAGGCTCATTTAGTGCAGGAAAATGCATAATACAGAGCCCTGGGCCCTTGTGCAAGCAATGTCTTCGTACAGTGCATCTCAAAGCACTTTAACAAGACAGACGGGTATTCAGAGGCACAGAAAAGTTAAATGACTTGTCCAAAGTTACTCAGGGACCAGTGGCCATTTATAAAATTTTCTAAAATTCTTAAGAGTATTGATTAAGTTTACTTCAATATTAAATGGCAGAATTCTTTGGACAACAGAGACTTCAAACGTGCAATCCCGAACAGCAGGTTGATTTGCTCATTAAGAAAACTGGTAGAGCACCTGTGCTGATAAGGGAAATGCAACAATCTTTGGAGGCTGCATGCCCAAGATAGGTCAGGAATAGGCTGGCTCTTGGGAGGCAGTAAAGGATTAATGACCCTTAGCAACAACTTGGAAGCTGAAAATTAATAGAATCATCCCCCAGAAGCACAAACAAAGCATGGAGAACAGCTGTGATGACACCTCTGAGGAATTAACACTCTATTCATGGATATGGTAGTATGCAATACTGACAAATCTACTGCACTGTCATTTGAAAATCTCCGGTGGTTCCCCATCAAAATCAGGGTGGGTCCAGTTGGCAGCATTGAAAATAGGCATTACCTGGATATTATCAGCAGCTCCTGAACAGACACTCAACGCATTTGTTGTACCATCCAAAGAGTTAAGGCCTTGCTGTCCTGTCCAGAAGGAAGCTGTTGGCAATAATGCATGAAACAACTCAATATTTACTTACTGTTCTGGAGTTTGCATTGGGCGGCTTGAGATGTAACTACGGCATTCGTCAGGGGCAGCTGATGCCTGGCCTTTGTCAATGATGACGCTTCCCACCTCGGATCTATACAGACAATACAAATCATCAGCTAAAGCAAATGGATGGCCCATCTCCTGGTCACCACATAGCTACATGACATGGAAAACAGTGCTGCTGAGCAACAAAGCAGCTTTAGAGATCTACACTCTCTTTAGCAACTTACTGCCTCTATATATATCATTCATGAAAAAGGCATCAGCTCTTACAAGAAAAGCCAAGATTTTAGGAGTTTTTCAAATTTCTTAATCCTTCTTCCCAACATTTTAATATGACAAGCCTCAAAGCACCAGAGAAAATTTCTTTTTGATGAAAAAGCACGTCAGGATTAGATTTCTTCTGGGACTTGTTTTGCATACCAGGGTTTACCTGTCAGATAAACAACACTAAGGATGTGATGCACATTAAAAGATATGTCCACACGGTGTTTTGGGACTGACACTATGCTTCTTACTTCTCTTAACCTTTCCTCCTCCCAGTGTTTCCATTGCACTGTTCTCTTAGGCGTCTTGTATGTGAGGGTTAATACTTTTTGCTGCAAATCTACTACTGTCTCAGTTCATTAAATTTTAAAGGAGACTGCTGCCACAGTACAATTCTGTACATCAGGAACTGACATATGCTATCAACATAAAACACACAAGCCCTTGGACTTTCTACATTTGTGTTCAGTTCATGTAGTCATACTGCCGTATGCAGGTCAGTCGTTTGCCTTCTCCCTTCTAGACACCCACCTTTTGCTCCCAGAAGGTTTCGGCTCTTGCTCTGTTTCCTCTGTTTTTTTCCCTGGTATTAACTTTTCAGCGCTGTCTAAGAGGGCACTGAGTGCCACTCTCCGAAAGACATTCCCATGAGCCTCCTTGATAAACTGGACCAGCTGTCGGATATCGCAGTACAAGCCCTGAGTAGCAAGACATCATGAAAATGAAAGAATTCAGTCTGCAGTTTGTGAAGAAGCAGTGAGAATCAATAGTTTCTAAGGTACTTCAGCAGACCATTACTTCCTCCGGCTGTTGTCTGATATACTCTCCATGTACAGGGTTTGTGTTTTCTGGCTGGGATCAAAAGCTGGAAACTCCATTTAGTGCACTCAGAGGAAGCAGACAGTGAGGAGCATTATTGTTATGGAACATGCTCTGCAATGGGTTAAAGCAGATGTAGATGTATCAGAGGCTAAACAGCTGCAAGGTGAGGGAACTGCAAAGATGACTTAAAGCCTGTTTTATCCCATTCATCTAGCCCATAATCTTAAAAGGCATGAAAAAGCTAAATGAAGGGGAGGGGGGGGAAGTAGAGTGCAAAAAATTGCATGTTTTGTTTCAAAACCAGTGGGTGTCTTGGGATTTTTCTTATTATTTTAAAGCTTTACATCATGGGAAGAGAGAGGAATGACTCACTCATTCCCCAACCTACTCCTACACTCAAGGCTCTTTTTAGTTCTGAACATTCATACGCATCTGTGATGTGACAAATCACCTCTATATCTGAGGGCAAGGGGATGGAGGAAACAGTTTTATAGGACCTGATTTTTGATCTGTGAACTTTCCTGAAGGATCTTGGATTATTCTGAAAATTCCCAGCTAGGAACTGCACAGCCATCTTTCAACAAAAAACCCCAAACAAATAATTGGATCTGTATACTGATTAAGGCTCTTTTTCATAAGATATTAAATACAAGATTGACTTTAAAGTGTGACGCAACAATAGGAAATCCTCATATATACTCTGCGTACTATGTTCTTGATACAGGCACAATTAATGGTGCTATGCTTAAAGATAAGTTTCACCTTACACACTAGCTAAAATAGGGTCCAGAAAGATATGCAATTTATAAGGAAAATTTACAATTAGTGATCCTAATCTAGGTTCAACAATGGCGCACGTTTTTCTGCATCCCACGACTTAATCTCTGCTGAGAAGCATTCCAAAGGAGAGTTATCCATAAGAACAAGAGGACTTGGACGTAGGCAGACTACTCTGCTGGTTTAAGATGTTACCGTGCTTTTCCTTCCCCCTCTCCCTTCCCTTCACAGAGGATTACTGACTCTTTAGCTGGACTTCAGTGCCTCTACAGCTCTGCCATAAGGACGGAGCACAAGAACGCTTCTTGGTTGCTTCCATGAAAAATCCTAATTCCTGACAATAAAGGAGGTGGTTTGAGATTAGCTGCTAGATTCTGCACCAATTTGGAAGAAGACAGCTCATGTCATCCATTCTACTGACTGCTCTGAGGAGATAGCACATAGGCAGCAACCACTAGCACCTTACATTCCTCCAGGTGTTTGGTAAATTGAGTGTTTGTCTAAACCTTGAGAAGACCTACCAAATTTCTGTTCAGTAACTGACATACTCTGCCACAGGCGGGCCACATCCTTAACCAAGTAAACTGGCTTTAACTTTCCTGAAAGTTGATTTATGCTGGCTGTGGTCTTGTTCATTAACCCCTTGCTCCAGACAATGCCATGAATCCATTTGGAAAAAAAATCCACAGAAGTTGCTTGAACACAGAGGAAAATGCAATTCAGAGCGCACAACTTTCATCCTGGCTAAGTCCCCAGGTTCCAAGGCAGGCATGCAAGGAGGGCGTCACATTTATATTATGTTTCAACTGTGACTGCATAGCTTGCTGCGCCCAAGGGATTTGGCTAAACTGAATCAATTCTTCACTGTAAAGCCTCACTGGTGACACCCAAGTGAAAAAGTAACTTTATTAACATGAAGTCAAGTACTTACCAGGTTCTCTGGGCTGTGCAACTCATGTGTAGTGGAAGCACAGCGAGTGATTAATGACTTGAACATGGCACTCACAATAATACCTTCTACACTCTGGGCTGTAGACTTGTTGTCCACTGTGGTGAAGTTATTCCCAAATCCAGCCTTGTCTGTGAAATTCAAGTACAAGCAAGTCCCCTTGTTAGGAACAGTTTAAAAAAGATGGCTTAAAGACACATGTAAAGGGATTCAGATACATGAGACAATGGCAAGTCCCCACCTAATATCCTGTGCTGAGTTCTCACAATCCCACCCCACAAAAATAAAGCAGAAGGGAAGGGTAAAATAAATGAGAAGGATGAAATCTTCCCAGAAATAGTGGTAGTATCAAAAAGGTTTGAAAAGATCAGGACCACTCTGGCTTCCTTTTTTCCACATCTCATTTAGAGATGTACAGAATAAGGCATAAAATTTGAACAATACCTCCAGCTTTTCTATTTACTGTTCTAAAAGACAAGAGATGTTTGATTAAGCTGAAAAGTGACGACACCCATGAAAAGAAAATCTTCTGAACTACAGGAATGTTGTTCTTGCAAGGTGCACAAGGAGACCAAGCTCTCAGAAAGAGTCAAAAAAGAATTACACATTTATATGAATAACAAGAAACATCCCAGTTTCATTAGGTGAGAGAAAAGTCTTTCAAAAGCTGCATGAGCTGCCATGCTTCAAAGCATGAGCCAGTTAATAATTGATGAATACTTGGGGAAACTTCCTATGGGCATCTTCTTCACAAAAGCCTGATATGTAATATTTTTTGATGCTTTCTCTGAAATGCCTGGGATCAGAGGTAGGCTAATAGACTAGTCAGACTCCCTGAGTGCTTCAGAGCAGCTATTGCTACTCTGTAAACAATTATTGTTAACTGTTGTTGCATGCAGTGACCAAGCATAAATATTTGGTCATTCTAATAGCACCTGGAATAATTTTCCTAACTTAAAAAAAAAAAAAATACATATATACATACACATAGACACACTTGCACACACGCTTGTAACTGCAGGCATGTGCATCTGTGTGTTCTTGTTTATTCAATCTGTTCTTGCTATTTACTGCCTCACCTGAGGCACCACAGAGGGTTTTAACGCTCAATTATATCTCCGTTCAGACTAAACCCTGGATTAAACAGGCTATTCCAGCTGGCGCCTGGTCATGTCATGAAGCAGAGAACTTCCTGCCTGAGGCGCAGTTGAATGAAAATATTTTCTTTGAAGAACCATGAACAACAGGTAGGATGAATCAAAAGAGAAGCCTTCAATTTCAGATGTACTGGGTGATGCAAGATCACTAGGTGAGATCACTGGGTGGTCAAATCAAGAAGGGAGCCAAGTCCCCTGGCTCGCACTGACTGAGGATACAGTCTGTATATTCAATACAGTAATTCACATTTTTTTTCTTTTTTGAAGGAAAAGAAAAAGGTGTGGCTTCTTTCTGATGGTACAGTTCGGGAATATTCAAGTGAGAGTTTCTGATGCCAGCTATACTTACTGTCAGTGACTGGCTCCATGCAGAATCCCAGTAAAGCATGCAGGAAATCCACCACATTATTGAGAGAATCCCTGTTCACATAATCCCTCATGGTCTGCCGGAACTGCATCTTATCCAGTTTGTACAGCTTTGTGAGGCAGTTCTGAGCCTGCAACGACATCCATCAAATCACATCACATCAAAGTACGTGTTCGAGTTTTGCTAATAGGAGCAGGGTATTTTTTGCTCTTGCTTAGCCAGTGCTCTGCTGTGCTGTCTAAAGTAACCTCCCCTAGGAGCCAGAAGGTTCGGGTCCTGTAACAGAAGACAGGTTCGCCTCTGAAGCAAACAAGAAGTTCAGCACAAGGAGACAGTGCACCAGTATGGATGCCACTGTTCAGAGGTGGTGGTGAAGTCACTGCCAGCCATGTCTCAAGGCGTCTCCTCCTCTCCCCAACCCCAAGGTAAAACCTCACTGAATATGAATGAAGTAGGAATATACCACCTCAGTCAAGGCTTATAGCCGTGATGAAACAGGTTCATAGCCTCAGGCATCTGATTTTCAGCCTCTGGCTCAGACCCAACCCGTTCAATGCACCGGTACCCAGTGACCAATTTATATCATGCAAAACATTAGCTTTTTATTTAAAAGCTATTAATTGTCAACTTCTTATCACAAAAGTATCCATCCTACTGGGACCCCATGCAGGCTAGAGTTAGAGAACCTGAAATATCAGCTCTATGGGAAACATGAACTCTCCTGCTACCTACAATAGGGTGCTTAACTTTCCAGTGAACTCAGACATGTGATTGTCATGCAGTCAACACAAATGGTGCATGCAAAGCAGTTTGGCCAGACAAACGCACAGAAAATGCAGCAGACTTAGACATGTAGGAGAATCTCTTCCCATAAAGACCTCAATTCAATCAGTCTGATAGGAACCTGGGCTCCAAAAGACCTATTCATTTATGCTTCATGTTATGCATAGGCCTAAATGTTTTGTTGGCTCAGCTCCAACACAACATAAAAGCCTAACTGACATTTTGATGAATATGGTGTATGTTCAACCAGTGCTCTGTGCAGAACCTTTCTACTGTAACCACTGGGACTCTCTTACCCCATCTTGTCCCATTGTGTCCAGAACTAATGTTACTGCTGCAGTCTCCTCAGTACTCCAGAGTCTAGCTAAGAGAAGAATGCTGCATGACACAGAGGCAGCCAATCCACCTCTGAGCCATCTAGCTCAGATCCCAGAACCAAACTGTAACTCTGTTGGCATAGCTCAGGCTAACGAAAGCCATGGAAAAGCACCTGGCTCCCACCCACGCTGTGGATGGGCACAGTGTAAATTCTCATTACAGTCATCAAAAATGCTCTCTGCTGGAAGCACAGGAAGCGAGGAGGAGGCATGTGCTGGAGAAAGCCTTTGAAAGTCTCACATTTGACAGGGCATTGGACTGATCTCAGGGAGTCAAACTCTTCTGGATGAAGTCAGATGTCTGGGCTACATCTTAGGCACTTTCCACTGCTTCAACTTGGGCAGAACCAAAAATGTAAGGAATCAACAGTGACAATCCACCCTGCCCTTCAATAGGGCATGAGTCTTCGACTTCCTTGCAGCACACTAACATGCCTGCAAGCACAGTGCACTCCAACTACCAGGAGCTGACGGAGCAGCCCAGCAGCAATCAGTCATAATCGCCATTAGGAAAGGTGGACATAACTACACCTCAGACTTCTGGATTCAGATATGCAACCCAAGATAGCTGCACCTCTTGTAAATAGCGTACTCTGTTGGGGTACCATCAATGTGAAAAATTACTTACACCAGCTCACACGGGGGATTTGCTCCCATGTATTTGTCCCGTCCCAGACAACCCATCCATTGGGGTACTCAGAAGCACCCTGGGCCTCAAGTGCTCTCTTAGCAAGCCCCAGGGGCTGGAAGGTAACACGATAGCTGAAAATCTGCTACAGCTGGGCTGCAACACATACTGTGAGCTGGGGCAAAGAGCAACACATTTACTGCCAATACAGAGAAAGCTACAGAGGGGGCAGACAGCAATATTAGCAGCTGATGTCAAAAGTACAAGGGGGACGCTTTAATGAGCTTTAATTCTCTTACATTCTCCCGGAATACCTGGTGTCTCAGGCGATCTCCAGAGAGCCCTCGGTGTCCTTCTCCGCAACCATAGGCACAACCCAGGGACTTCACAATTTTGATCAGCATTGTGAGTGCCAGCCTATGGGTGCTGACAGATGGGCCTTCATCCTGAGAGACACAGAGGGAAAGATGGTGTGAAACCCTGGCACAACCACTGGCATTTTGTTAGCATTTTACTTTTAACAAATTGCTGTCCATTTATCCTCTCAGACACTCCATGGCTGAGTTCTTACTCTTGAAATGCTTACTCCAATTATTTTTCAAGTTTAGGGACTGGCCCCCTCCCTTTCAGCTCCCCTCAAAAAGTCATGCTATAAATGCAAAAACCCCTACATACTGCTATGAATACCATTCAGCATTTACTTCAAAAACTTCTTCCTGAAAAATGGAGTGCTGGCTTGCTTGAGCAGAAAAACAAGCACCTTTTAAAAATGTCTTAGGTATTATGCTACCATGAATTGCAACTTTGGAGGTCAGCAACAGCATCTCTTGGCCAATTCTCATAGCAATACTGAAAAAATTATACTTTCTGGCCATCAAAGAAAAAAAAACTGTGTTCACACACTAGATTCTGTTTTTCCTTATAAGTTATGAATAATAAACCTGAAAAAAATCATTGTGATTGAGGGTTTCGGGGTCTTTTACAAGATACTGAAAATGTCCATGCAAGGCTCACAAAACCTGCTTTTAGCAGCTGCTTCGCTGGAGTGGTTACAGTGCTTGAATTCCCAATTGTGTTTCTTCAGTGGAACCCCAAGTGAGCACGAGAACAAAACAAATTAATTTATAATTGCGGTGCAAAAAAAAAGGAGGGAAAACAAAAGGGCAGTTGCATACACATGCATACTCAATCTTTACAGATCTTACAGTACATACAGGAATTGTATAAAGAGAAGCAAGACAAACCTTTTCTTGTTTTTTGTCATTCTTCTCATATGGCCCTCCTCCTCCTCCTCCACCTCCATCACTTCCACCTCCACCTCCTCCACCACTTCCACCACCTCCTTCTTCTCCTCCATCTCCAGCTCCACTAACTGGGGGAGGCCCAAATCCACAAGCTGAACCACCAGAAGCAGCCCCTTTGAGCTGGAAGGATCCTTCACTTGGTCTCTTTTCAGGGGCCTCATTTTCTTTGTTCTCACTCTTCCTCCGAACCTTCTCTACACAGGGCACCACACCAAGCTGAAGTAAGCACTCCACAATGTTCAGTGCCACATCGCAAATCCGGGAACTGATGTCATGGTTCAGAACCAAGTAAACAGCCTTCAGGACCACCTGGGAGATTCAAACATAGTATTTAAAGTCAGGTTTATTTTCTCTCCTAGTACTATTTAGTGCCTGGAAATTCTAGTCACAGACCAGAGACTCATTATAGCAGGCACAGTACAAACTCAGAATGAAGTACACACAACCCTCAACCCCAAGAGCCTACGATCTAGGTGTAAGACAAGAAACCACAGGCTGGGCACAGTCAGGCAGAAAAGGAAACCATGAGATGACATCTGTGAGCCTGAGAACACTGCTTCAGTGCACCGGGGGCTGTCAAGTCATTAAGGGGAATGCAGAAAAGGTGAGTTTTAAGGTGCCATTAGAAGAAAGGTGCTATTCAGTTTTATACTATTTTATAGGGTACTTGGTGCATGCCCCAGGAACACAGCCATTAAATAATATCACTTAAGATTTGATGTGTGCATTCCACATGCACATGCACTCCTTGCAAGGAGTAATAGGAGTTGCAGTATCTCAGAGGAGACTTTTATGATATGCACAAATGTATCTGACTGACCTTTATGTACTGCTGAGAGAAGTCATATAAAGAGGTGGAGGAAAAGCCCATCAAACCCCTGATCTCAATGGTACAGCTATATTGACAGAAGAGGGACCTGGCTTTCCTCGTTCCTTGCCAATTACCGAGAGATCCAGCATGCCGTTCTTGTGGACAAAGTTGTTGGTTCCATCAATGTGATCCGTATCCTCCAAGCAACTGTAATTGATGCAGGAGTCTGTCAGGCTCCGTGGGAGGTTGGCACATGCAAGCGGCTCATGGGGCATCTCAGGGATAGGCACCTGGTTGCAAAGCTTCCTCATGTGCTCACTGAAGAAATCGGCGTAGCCCACATTGAATGAGGCCAGGGTAGTGTTGAAGGTGGCCACAGTGATGGTGGAGATCTGGGACCGCACTGCAGGGAGGAAAATGGCTACCTGTAAATTTCCATCTCTAGAGTTATGAAATGGCAAACTGAGGCTGTCCTTGTTGACAAGAAGGGAGCAGCTCTTAATGCAGCTTGTAATGCTGAAAGACAAGACAGGTTCCTAATTCCTATCATGGGTACAGGGATGAAAGCATAGATTCATTTATTCCTTTAAGCCAGTCTAAATTAGAACAACCCCAAGTTTGCTCTAGCAGTACAGTTCCACGGCACCTTAAGCTGATCTCAGTCAACTGGGCAGTTAAGCAGATCAGGGAGCTCAGCCTGTCTAAATCTAATCCAAAAGGGGGATTAGATTTTGGCTATCTTTGCTCCCTGCATTGGTCCAGTGCCTGGTGTTAAAAGCAGCACTTTTTTCCT